TCAAGCTGTGATCGTTTCTATCATGAAGATAAACTGGCCATTGTTGCCAAAAATAAATGTTAGTGTTCCAAATCCACACTTCAATAGCACCAGCTCATTAGAGATGCATATCATTTGGCTCCAGTCCCACACCTTCCAGCTCGTTATAAATATGCAGTTGCTGCTGGCTCTACCCCAATCATCTCTGCAATCAGAGCTTTTAATTAGGTTAATTAAATTGTATCAAACCTCGCAGGGACGCAGTTCACTGATGCTGATGAGGCAGCCAAAACAGACCTTAACTCTAGCTCTAATGAAGGCCCTGCTGCCTGCTGCAGCTAATGACAATGCATAATAAATTAGAGCTTCCCTAGAAAGGTGCATCAGGGCTTGTGCTTCGGTAAATGATGATCTATATGCACTAACTTACTATTTCAGTCTTTAGGTCTGCCAAGCCAGGGACATCCTGGGAATATGTTCTCACTAAATAATGGGCTCCTTCCTGCTCAGAGTGGCGCTGCTCACCTGGCTTCTCTCGAGGCTCTGAAAGCTCCTGGTACGTAACCGTAGAGAAGGCAAAGCAAATATTTGCTGTTTTCACCTTGGAAGGGCTTGGCCTGTTCTTATGCTGGGCTTCTCCCAGCAGAGGCAGCAGGGTTGTATTTAGGTGATCCCCTCTGTAATTGGACTCAGGGAGGGACGCGGGGGCTGCGTGCAGGCTCTGGGGCAATGCCTCAACCAGGCAGGGATGGTCTGGGTGGGCAAGGAGCCTCTGGAAAGGAGAGGTTTAGGCGAGCTGTGTGGAGCAGCAATTAGTCCTTCCTGATTTACATCCTGCTCTTCCCACTCCCTGCTGTGAAGCTGCTCCTGCTGGGTGAGGAGCTCCGCCACCCTCTTCTCCTCGGTGCCCTTGGGCCAGTCACCTCAGCTGAACCTCGCCGTGGGACAGCAGAGCCTGGTGGCAGTCGGGGCAGCCGGTCCTGCCAGCTGGAGATGCCCACGTCCCCACGCCTGGAGCACCATCCTGCAGCAGCAGCACCTGGACGGGGCACGGGGCCAAGCAGCTTTGAAGTAGTTGGAGCTTCGAGGGACCCCATCCTGCCTGGTGGCTGGGCACAAGGTGGGTGATGCTGCGTGGGATGTGCCAGGTTGGTGTGGGTGGTGGGGTGGTGGGATGGCAGCCTCCTTGCTGGGAGCTCAGAGTAGGGCCCTGGGGTCCGAGCATCCCTCCAGATGCTGCAGAGCACCACTGTTGTTGCAGAGCCATCAGTAGCCCCACGAGCATGTTGGCTGCTGGCTTTGCTACTTTGAAAAGGGTGAGACCCCACCGTGCTGCTCCCCAGTCTGCTCCAGGCCCTGAAATTGGGACCTCCAGGAAACAAATCTTGAAGCTGAAGGGCTGCTGATAGGCCTCCTGCTAGTAATATACTGTTGCAGCTGCCTAGAGATAATTCTACAAGCATTTTAATGTAGCCTGCTATTAACTTTTATAGACAGTCATTATCAATTGAGTTCTTCAGCATGAACAAGGAATTACATGAAATTATTATACGGCACAATATTATCCTGAGTCACCTGGAACCTGGGCTGTGAATCTGTGGGGTATTTTGATATCTGTATCTTGCAAGCTGCGGGGAATCACCTTGCTAAAGAACCTGTTGGTTTGGCTTTTGATACTGTAATTACCACAAGCAGAAAATAGCTGCGGGCTGTCCTGGTCATTACCCACCGGGGCCCCGCTACAGGACGGTGGGAACCTGTGGGGTTCTTCAGGTCTCACGTTGTGGCCACGTGGGCAGAGAGTTTGGGTAAGGTTTTGGGTTTGGGTCAGGTACTGGCTCTTCCCAGTCACTTGTGGAAGGATTTCAGTGCTTTAGGATGACCGAGGGGAGGGCTTTGGGTGTCATCAGGAGCAAGATCCTGGTGGGTGACCTGTGGGGCAGGGCTTGGTCCCCTGGGGCGAGCTGCTGGGCCTGTGGCTGACCCAAGTGTCCCGTAAGCCCTCATCACAAATGATGTTCTTGCTTATCCAGAGGCTTTTCCAGAACTCTGAGAAAACATGATTTCCAGCCCAAATTTGTTCCTGGGCAGTTCCAACACACTTGTGTCAGTGACAGGTCTTCTTGCTGCTGTACACTTTCATGCTGTTTGCTTCTTAAGGCACATGTATTGCCTTTACCTTGCTTGGCTGAAAGAGCCAAGCCCTAGTCCTGTTTGTAAGGCATGCCCACTGCCCCTCTGCATCCTAGCAGCTCTTTCATCCACCCCAGTGTGAGTTAATCTTGCCTGAGTCTGGACAACCTGCGTACTGTGACCCCAACCAAGTGTCACGATAGGCCTGTAAGATGTTTCTAGTATTGCCTGCCTGATACGTGGATTTTTTTTATTTTTTTTTTATCTGGCAGCCCGAAAAAAAAGGTCTTGGCACCAAAAGATAGCATTTAATCTACGATGCCATTTTCAGCAGTAACTGCCTGAGTGTTTCTCTGGACACTGAGCTACAGCACTGCTGTGAAACACAAAGAAAACTGTTGGATGTCCGTCATAAGAGGGTTTGCTCTTTGAGATAGTTTATTTTTTTGGTGGGAAAAGATGATGGTAGGCTTTGTGGGGCAGTAGGTGTGGGTCAGCCCTATCTGTTGAGGTGGAAGCTCTCTGGTCAGCATCCACAAAGTCCTGCAGGCACAGTGATCTGTTCATACACAGGAGCCAGCATCTCCTTTCAGTCTGTGGCCACGCAATGATGAGCTGCTCTGCTGGTGGTTGGGTTTGTACCCAGGCTTTTGCAGTCAGGGTCCATCAAGAAGTCTGCTTGGATGTGACAGTGCTGGAGTTGCTTTTTAAGACTTTCATAGTTTCCCAGGGAAAAGGAACTCAGAACAGGGACCACTTTTACTCTGTAAATCCCATAGAGACCATGAAGTTATTGCATCTTTACCTAAAGCTTGCAGCTCCTGCATGCTGGCAGGCAGAGGAGGACTCGCACCAGAACCAGGAGTATGGCACTTGCCCTAGGATTTTCCACGGTGAGGACTGCTCAGAGCCTCACAGCTACCTGATTTATCCCGTAATATCTCTCTCCTTTACTGGGAGGTGATGGCTCTCTTCCAGGGATTAGGTCATTTGTGCCCATTGCAACACTTGGTTTACCAAGGGGATCAGAGCACAGCAGGCACTTGGAGCACCAGGACAAGCACCGGGGCATCAGCTGTTCCCCTTGCTGCTTTTCAGCTCCTGCCTGGCAGCAATTCCTTCAGTGTCTTCCCGTGGAATTGCTATTTTTCTTTCCCATCCTTTTCAGCAACTCTCTCGATGTAGGTAAAATTAATCAGGGATAAGGATCAAATGCTTCTTCACTTAAATCTCAAAGATTTTACTTCAAAGCCCCCCAGCCAGTGTATTGGGGACATTGGTGTACATTTTCAAAATAACTAAACCATAGGTGAGCTCTGTTTTTTTTTTTAATCTATCATGCTTTTCATTCCTCTGAATTTTAACTTAAATTTTCAAGGTCAAGAAATTATGCTTATAAAACCTTCAGATTTACCAAAAATAATAAACCAACTAAGCCTGCTGCTCTGAGTAGGCTTGGAGTCTGGAAACCTTAAAATAACGAAACCCTGCTGTTCTTTTTGCCAGCAGCAGCTGGAACAAGGTGTTTCCCTTAACTCTGGAGCAGGGCTCGCAGCTCCGGGCAGGCACCTGCTGGAGCAGGCACCGGTGGCCGGGGGGAGCCCGGCCCCTGCCGCGGGGCGCTGCTGCCCTCTGCCGGGCTCCCCCTGCCTCCCTTCGCTTTCTCCCCCAACGAAGAGATAATTTTCAAGGGGGGAAAAAAAGCTCCTCGTCTCTCCTACGGGTGCGATTTTTTACGAGGAAGGAAAGGAGAAACCTTTTTTCTTTTTTCTTTTAAGTCCTGCTCGATGCTAGTCGTGTTATGGTGTTACCAGTGAAACTTCATGTTCTGTACGGAAATGTCCTGGCTGCTTATAAAGAGCAAAGCGTAGCCCTTCCCAGAGTGCTTCCCTGGGGAAAAAGAATATTACCCCACACTTCTCACTAGCTTTGGAATCTTTGCAATGGCAGCAACAACATCTGCTGCTGCCACACCGAGGCTGTATTTCAGCACCTAAAAACTAGTCATGGTTAGCTAAGGGAAGATAGGAGAACTCCTGAATGGGAAGGGCTTGAGAAGAACTTTTTTTCTGACCATCTTGCATGGGCATGTGCTTATTATTGGCAGCTGTACCACAAGTGAAAGAGATAAGAAAAGGAATGTTTACGCCCAGGCTCTCTTAACTTGCCTGAACTGCTCCAGGACACTCAAGGCTGTGTCTTCATTGTTCTCAGCTGAACCCCCCTTCTAACTACCAGCATTGCAATAAGTGTAACATAAAACAGGACAAACTTTTGTCCTACATTTGGCTCTTGTATTGTCTCTCCCTGTTTATAAATCTCAGTATTGCTTCTCTGTTCAGACTTATCAGTCACACTTGAAATCTGGTGGTGTGCAGGCACTGCCCTCTTGTAAGGTACCGGAGATGATCACAGCTATGGGTAAATGTGCACTCAGCTACAGAAATTGTTCATAGAGGATGAGTTGTTGTTTTTTTTTTTCTGTACAGTGCAAGAAGCAATTCCCTGCTTCCAGCATCATTCCAGAAGTTTTTGGCTAATAATGGTGCCTAAATTTAGCAATGCCTTTCACCTCCTAAGTGAAATACTTTGTGCAGGTAGATAAAGCAAAACAAATCAAAGCAGGATGTGGGGCAAAAATAGTGATTAAAAAGATAACTTTAACCTGCTTGAAAAGATAGCTTTAAGAAAAAAGCTGTTCTGAAATCTTGTGGTTTTGGCCATGCCATGGTCCACTGGCCCAAGATGTGAAAGTAACAGAAATCCTGGCACACCGTTCCTGTTCATGTGCAGCCAATTTCCTGGTCTCTTCATTTTGACCTTGACTTTTCAAAGATTGTTTATGGTACGTATTACTAGAACAGTTAGGCACCTCTTGTGGCTTCCCATTGTAAATACCACGAGAACAAACTCCTTGATTTATTAATCAATTAATTAGATAAAATATATTTATGGCTACTGCAGGCCCACAGTAATTTATTTTAACAAAGCACTAGGCTGCAATGAAAACCGAACTGATACTGGCAGTATATCAGTACATCTTCTTACGGAGAGTCCTCTTTCTAACCAGAGACTGTAACTTTTCAATGAAATGGTTAACGTTTCCGTTGATATTTGAATTTGTAAATAGCTGGACTATTCGTTGTCTCTTTCTTCACCTTTACTTTATGAGTTTTGTCCTGGAAGAAAAAAAAAAGAAAAAAAATTACTTGATCTGCTGTCATGTAACAAGGGAAAAAAATCCTAAAGTCCCTGTCTGGGACTGACAAGTCATTAGTGAAAAATGGTCACTTCCCACTGTTTAGGTGGGAATTTTATTTCCATCTGCTCTTTCTGTCTCTAGTCTGTCAGGCACAATCTGTTTTGTTCACAAGCACCAGTGAACAGCAAGCCCCATTGAGACAAATAATTTTTTTGGTCACCGGGTTTTTAAGATCTTGTAACCTAGAGAACTGCTTTCTTCCCTCTGCTGCTTTTTAATACTTGAGAGATGACAACAACAACAGTATTTTAGAAGAGACTGTACATCATTTCAAGAGTTGAATCTTTGTTCTTGCTGATGTGATAGAGCTGGACTAGCAAATACACCAGACATGTCACAACCGGAATGCTTCATGGAATCATCTCCTTGCTTTCTCCATGCTAAAAGAAGATTGCTTATTTTTAGGAGTTACCTAAAAGTGTCAGCATAAATGAAAGAAACTCAGGTATAGAGCTAGACCTAGCGACTTTAACAAAAGATACAAAGAACCAGTTAAATCCCTCACCAAAAGATCTTTACGCGTCTGGATTTTCTGTGCAATAACGAACATGCTCTTTTCTCGCTCAATGCGCTGCTTCAGGAGGTCATACTGGTTCTTCCTTTGCTGGTCTAATTTCTGGAGAAGAAAAAAGCATTTTTAAGAGAGAGGAACAAGACGCTACAGTTTACAGCTGACCTATTCTGAGACCTCACAAACATTTTTTACATTTCAGCCATATAAAACAATTCTGCTTTAGTTCTGTGGTCAGATTTCAGCAAACCATATAACATCTTGATTCTCATACTAGATGTTTTCTAGTTAGGACTTCATTCTTCATACTTCTTTTAATCTCCTAAGTCCAAACTAAAGAAAAAAGCAAGCAAAGAAAACCCACCACACATCTTTTAACTTAGCTTTGGAACTTTGTTTAGTAAGCAGCTGGAATTTCAGTTTCATAACTCCTCTTAATTTCAGTGTTGAGTGCAAGACAGCACTTAGCTCCATAAGGAAAAGCCACAAATGTTTATTCAGAGGAAAAAAAGACCAGAGACCAGTTCCTGAAGTGCTTAGAAATTGCACAGAGGCCTCCCAAAATGCAGCTTGTTTGATCATGTTTACCTACTAAGATCTGATGGTTTTCCCAGCACAAAAAATGGTATTATTGCAGGTGTGATTTAAGTAATTAAATTAAGGAGAACAGATCCCAACATGCCTACAATATGACTCAGACATTTAGAAGAGAAAACTCGTCAGCCTACAACTCGTCCAACTGCTTTACTGACAAGCCAAACCAAGAAAGTTGGCAAAATGGAAGGGACCACAGGGTGTTTGTTATCTGACATCTGATTCAGAAAACAACAGGTTACAAATTTACCAATCGGCAGTTTAAGACAAGTTTATTTTTACCTTACACATACTGACTTCAGCTTACAGAACTGCCCAATATCTAAACTAATTAAGATGTATTTATGGTGTTAAAGCCAAGCTTAGCTACTTCTAGGACAGAGGTGCTGTGATATTAAAACATTAAAACCAAAGCTGATTGTGTAAGCAGGAGGTAGGAAACTACCTCATCAGGTATATACCATGCTGTTCTGGCCCAACCTTCACAACTCTTGACTTATAATCCACAGTGAGCTGGGATACAACTGAACAAGTTCTCCGCGTTGGTCCAAGAGAAGATTCGACTGCAGTCTCCAGGTACTTGATGGTTAAGTGATGTCCACTACAGCCTTGTTTCACCAATAAAAACTGGTGAAAGACAACATGTTTTTTTCTCTTGCACAGTGGACCAAATAACCCTTCTTAGTGCTTATTGTATATATAAAAAAAAATAGATGTATACTGTAAAATAGTGGGTAGTACAAACTACCTTTAAATGGACAGGATCAGTAGCTCCTTTCAGTGTCTCTTTCTGCAATGTTGCAATGGTTGGTCGGTTGTAGACTCTATCTACTAGCTCAGGAACAGTGTTCAGATGAGTTGCAATATCAAACTCTTCAACTATAAATAAAAAAAAATGAAATAAACTCAGACTTCTTGGACTGATGCTCAGCAAACCCTTCTAGCATGTAGCTTATGTAAGGTCAGCAGCAGAGAGAGCCCTAGCAACATAGCTCCTGCAGAACTGAGGTACTCTCTAGGCATCAATTTACAGAGCACCTGAAATATTAATCCTGAAATAAAATAATCTTTTATAATAATAGCATAAAGAAAACACCTTACTGCTTTATACTTGTTACACAGCCTGAAACAAACAAAAACCCAATAGAGCCTATTGAAATCTTACCTTCTTTTTTAGTATCAAAAAAGAACACGTGCTTGTTGGGCTGCTTCCCCTCAGCATCCAGCAGATGGAGCTCGGACTTCAGCCTTTCGATTTTCTGCAGGAAAGAAAAGGTAACCTCAGTTTTGCCAAACATTTGTAACAAGGTGAATGATGTCTCCTTGAAGTGAATTCCTGTTTGCTTCTCAAGTTTATGAGCATCTGAATACTTTAATACTTCTTAAACCAGATGCATTTAAAAAAATATTTATATACATGTCCTCTTTTCAAGTCAAGGTAATTTCTGATATTGCCCAACCAAATATGTACAAACCAATTTTCAAAACAACAGTATGTTATCTGTATGGCAGACAAAATTGAAAGGATTTCAATTCAAGGATTACTTTGAAATTACTAGCGAAGATATGAAGGAATATCCCAAGCTGACTTTAATTCTTTATTTGTAGTGATAGTGTATGAATCAACATTAGAGCATGAAACAGAAGTCAGATTTCTGTTTACTCACTTCAGCAACAATAATCCTCAGCTCTATATAGATGAGAAGCAAGGTACATGTTTAGTGTCTGAAATTGACATAAAAAATGCCATGTTTTATAATAACTTACAGTATAGCTTTTAGTAGTTTTCTGTAGGTTCTATACACCAAGCTCCACTGACATTTCCATCTATAATTTCAAGTATTACATAACCCAGATTTCTCTGAACATAAACACAATATCTATCACCATCAGCAACCCCTCCCCAAAGGAAGGAAAAAAATAGTGAAAACAATTCTGGGCAAAATGGAAAACACTGAAAAAGTGAAGTATTACCTTGGCTTCTGCCACTCTTTTCATTTCCACATACTTAATATCCTGTGTCTTCATCAATTTTGCCTGTTCAGGAGTCACTTCATCCTTTGGCTGCTTAATTACATGAACTCCATCCTAAAAACAGATGGAACACAGTACTTAAACTTCTATGGCACCAAGGTAAGTCTGTATTTTGTTTACTAATTTGTAAATTGAAAAACATAACTTGTCCCTTGGAGCCACAGTGTAATCCCACCTGAAGGTAGTTTCTTACCTTGAGCCGTGTGTTTATCATCTTAAAATAAAACTCATCGGGATTCTTGTCCAGAGCTTTCTTCTGAAGCGCTCTGAGGGCATTTTGCTTCTTGTGATAATCCCTGGAAAAAAAAACAAGAGCAGTTCAGCGTTTCTCCATGTCCATGTTCCCTGAGGAGATGCTGAGTCCCTCAGAGCAATGCTCAGCACCGTGATAGAGCAGAAAATCTCCCTGTACCAAGCTGGACACCAACAGACTTCAACCTCACAACTTATTCCTCAACAAAGCTGGAGATGAACGGTGTTGAGCAGCAAGTGGTGGAGGAATAACAGGAGCACGTGCTGCCCAACTGTCCAGCTTAGCCCTCCTGGACCTTTCCTGGGGTCAGCCATTAAAAACAGAAGACAAAACTTGTAATTCTTTTATTATTTGCAGGGATAACGACGTGAGGACTTGCCACACGTCTCCCTGCCTGTGTGTGGAGGCTCCAGCCCCCGGGGGGCTCCTACCCTGTGGGTTCCCTCCCCGGGGGGCTCCCTCCCGGCTCTCCCCGACTCACTCCGCTCGCAGCTTGTAGTCCTTCTTCTTCTCCAGCAACCCCAGCTTCTTCCGAGAGGCGGGCTGCGAGGAAAAACAGGGCAGAAAGTGAAGGAGCCGCCGGCAGCAGCGAGGCCCGAGGGGCCGCACCGGGGCCCGGCGGCCCGCAGCGGGGGGATGGCGCTCACCTGGGCCCGCTCGCGGTGCTGCCGCTGCCGGGACTTGGCGGCCTTCTTGAAGGCGGCCGACATGGCGGAGAGGGGACGGGGACGGTACCGGGGGGACGGTGGTGGTGGTGGCGGTGGCGGCCGCGTGAGGAACCGGAGCGGGCGGGGCAGGGCCTAGGCCGCAGGCTCCACGCGTCACGTAATGGCGGCCGCTGGCGCCGTCTCCATGGAGACAGCGGCGCCCTGCCCGGGCCCCGCCGCCTCCTCCGCTGCGGGCCCAGCCCGGTCCCGGGGCTCGTTTATTGCCCCTCCTGAACTCCTCGCCCTCGGGCCGTGATGGCCGCAGCCCCCCCGGTTCTAACTCCGTGCTGCCAGGACACCGAGCTTTGCTTTCCCACCATCACCGCCGCTGCCGCCATCCCCGGTGCCCCGCAGGCGATCGGTGCCATGGGGGCGACCCCCGTGGAGGAGCCGAGCCTGGCCCGGGGAGGGCTCCGTGGGGCATCCCCCCGGTGCTGGGACCTCCCGTGCTCTCCCCATCCTCTGCTTCCCCTGGGGGCTCCTATGGGTGCTGTAGGGTTGCACCCATGGGTGCTCCCCGCCGGTTTCAACCGGGGGCAGGGCTGCTGAGCCCACCGCCCCCCAGCACGGCTCGGCTCGGCTCGGCTCACCGCCCCTCAGCTCCGCTCCGCCCCGAGCCGGGCGGGGCCGTGCTGGGCTCCGCCGCGGGTTGGGGAGCGGTGCCGAGCCGTGCCGAGCCATACGGAGCCGTGCCGAGCTGTGCCGAGCCGTGCCCAGTCTGCACATCGCCGGGGCGAGCAGCGAGAGCGGCCCCGGGGCGCCGAGCAGGTGGGGAGAACCGGGGCTGGGGGGGGCTCCGGGGCACCGGGGGAGGGCTGGGGGGTAAGGGGGGACCGAGCATCCCCGCGGGACCCCGGCTGGGTTTGTCCCTGCCCGAGGTGGGTCCTGCTCGGAGACCTTCACCGGGTTTTGCTCGAGGAAGCGCAGCGAGTGTTGTTTCCTAAAAGAAATTAAAGAAAGAAAGAAAAAAAAAACATCTTTCTGCCTTTCTGCCGTGCCTCTTTCCCAGTCTGTGAAGCTGCAGTGCTTAAGCTGTGTTTTATTAAAGCTCTGAAACTTTACCCGCCCAATAAACTCTGAAGTAAAGTTAAACCAAATGCGCAAACTTAGTGCAGAGAAGCGTTCAGCACGCCCTAGCGGGTTGCTGTGTGTCCAGGGAGTCCCAGGGTAGGTATGGGGTAAGGCTCCTCCAGCCTTTGCTTTTTTCTTCTTAAACAAAAGCTCAAACGTCACAGCTGGCATCTTGTGGCTTTGAAAAATAGCTCAGCATCGCTGCAAAATGTGTTCTACTGAACGCAGTTTGGTTTCAGATGGCTCTGTGCTCTCTTGCAGGTAAGGTTTTCTCTTTTGGTTTTGAGCTTTGTAGGTATTTTGCACCTGCGGTTACATTAATTGCTTTGTCTCTTTCATGAGAATGCATGGAAATGCTGAAGGTACTTCACAGTTCGCCTGGTTAAAGCCTGTTGGGAGGAATTGCTCTGCGCTGACTCAAAGCTGAAATAGATGGCATATGCTGGCGGTTACTTATCTCCGTAGTGCAGGCTTTGATACTGAGATTGCTCTACTTGGATTTGAATTCAATACATTCACTGTTTCTGTTTTGAAAACCATAAAGAAATGTTTCCAAATCAGAAAACCTATCATAGAAGCACAGGAAAGGCCACTCTGGACAAGACCTTGGGTCTGATGACCTGGTGGCAGCACCCATGGACTGTTTAGAAGTTGGGGTAAGATAGCTTTTCCAGGTACTTCTCTGACCCCTCTACCAGGTGGTAGAAATCTGTAGCTCTCCCAGCTGCCGTGAATGTGTGATTGTCAAATGATCCCTTACTGTTCACTTTTGAGAAGGATTTTCTTGGATATTTCCTTGGGAGTCTCCAGAATTTAAAAATCTGCCTTTTGAAACGAGTAATATTTTTATGATGTTCACAAAGGCGTTGAATCTGCTTAATTTCCCCAGTTTGCTGTATCAAAATGTGGTTTTACTTCCTGATGGGCAGGCTATCAGCAGGATGGCAGAAAAGGGGAAGTCTGCCATTTCTTCTGTCCTATTTTTGTGCCATTTTTTCCACTGCTCCAAGGATGCAGACCACAGGGTTTCCTCCTTCTCTTGCTAGCTTCTTCCTTAGAAGTTTTAATAGGCACAGAATTGTACTTTAGTTCTTACCCAGCTAGGACTGTAATTTTATATACTTTTAAGGCTGGTGACATAGCCTTGCCACAACTGAAGGCAGGGTGGTGCTCGGAAATATTCTGCTATGGAATTTGGGATGTCCTGTGAACAGTCCCATGGCCCCAGCTGCTGGGGCACCACTGTTGCTCCATACTGGATGTTTCTGAGGTGCCTCTTGATGGAAAACCTGGGCACCTCCCCTGCCTTGAAATACCACCCGGAGAGCTGAGCAGTGACTCGTGCGCTGAGGATCAGGCTGGTTCCTTGGTCTTGGGGAGGATGGGAGGTCACTGCCGTTCCCTCTGCAGGATTTGCAGCCATCTGCAGCACGTCTGCTGTCAGCTCGGCTTCCTGTTTACACTGCAGTTCGTTTTAGAACAGGCTCTGAAGCAGCCACGCTGGCTGAGGACACAGCCGGCAGCTGGGGGGCTCAGCTCTCCCAGGTCCTTGTGGGGAAGGAAGGCAAGAGTCTCCTTCCTGGCCCATGTCATTGCAGTTGCCCTGCTCACACACACTTTTTTTTTTTTTCCTGTAGAGTAACAGCCTTGTGTGGCTGAGGACAGTGTTCAGTGGGCAATAGATTTCTGAGGAGAGCAAGCTCAGTGATGTTCTTATAGGGTTTGCTTCTGCCAGGTCTAAAACATTAAATGATGGAGTTAGAAAAATCTCCTCAGTGGGCAAGTTCCTGGAGTTCCCAGCGCACCACTTTCGGGAGCACTTGGTTCAGTTCACAGCCAGGACTCGCGCTATTGCTTGTGCTATGAGGCGAGATGCTTTCTGCTGGGTTCCCAGTTGTAGCTCGGCTGATGCCGTTACACGGCCTGCTGTTTTCTGCAGCACCAGCAGGAAAATGGAATAAATTGGTTATTCTTAGTGCTCAAGTGGTTCCTGCTCCCCTCTCCCTAGAAGCGGACTTTTACGGTAATCACAGCAGTGATGCACAAGGTTTTCATGGTGGCCTGCTGGGGTTCTTGCTCGTGTCTGCGGGATTTTTGCTGTGCTCAGCTTGCATGAGGTCATGCTTGAAGAACCCTAATTGCATCAGGAGCCTCAGGAGAGACGTGAGTGTAAACCTTTTTGCCTCTGCCTCACCTTTCATGTCAGAAAGTTTCCATAGACAAGTATATATATTTACAGAAAACCGGGGACTGACTGGCTGCCTGGTCTGAATAGAAGCCAAACTTCTTAACTGGACAAACAGTTTCATAATTTCTGGTAATTGCTCATATAAGGAAGCCACTTCTGCTTCGGTGTTTGGTATCCCTGGTCAACATCCACTGCTCCTGCCTGTGCCCACTATCAAGCACCCGGCGTGGTCGGGCAAGAAAGCAATTTGGGTGACACTGGCTCTTGTGCTCAGCTTTCCAGCCCAGGGTGCAAGCTCGTGTCCCCTCATTCCTTACAGGACTTTGACTATTTCTGCTGATGTAGGTGTGATTTTGAGGCCCAAACTGGAAAAATGAAGAGAGATCTTCATGTTTTGCCTGTTGAAGTCGTCAGAACAAACGTAAAAGACAACAAAGAAAGAATGGCTATAACAATAGCTACCAGCTGCAGCCAGGAAAGGGAAAAGACCGATTGTTGGGGGGCAGAGAAACTTTACCAGTATTTAATCTTCAGATTACTGCCAAAAGTTTAGGATTGCTTTTAAAGGACAGGACGTTCAAATGCGAGTGCTGAGAGTTTGCAAGCGAAGGGGTTCAGCTGCACGGGCTGTGCTGGTTCCATTGGGATCTTGCCACAGCCGGATTTGGCAGCTCTGCAGCATGCTCCGTCCTGTAGTTTGTTAGAGAACAGTTTGATAGTGGCATTTCTTGCGATGACTGATGTGATATGTAGTTACTGGACTTCGCCCATTAAGAAGGAGTGTGTCTTTGGCTACTGTTGGAAAGAAAAATGTGCCATTCTGGGGAGATGCAGCTGCTGAGAAAAGTCCTTGCTCTTTGTTTTTTCTCTTCCTTCCGTTTTGCACTGGTTTTGCCAGGTGTAAAATGCGATTGTCAGCAGTTTACAGGGAGGGGGAGTGTCAGTTTTCCTGTCGAAGAAAATATCAAGGGTCTGGTTGTGAAAGGAAAGGGGAAACCTGAAGAATGCCACATGGCTTCCACCTTCCTGTATTTCATCCTAGCAGAATTGCCTCTGCCGAGTGACTCACTTGGTGTCTGTTGGTGTCTGTTGCTAAATGGAGAACAGTCTTAACTAATGATTCTGCCCTTACTCAACAGGAGCCTGCTGAGATGATAGTGTTACTCTGGGAGGAAACAGAAAGACATGGCTGTTAGGATTAAGCTAATCGTGTTTAAACTCTTAATCAAGAGTTATTTAAAAATGTTTTAACACGGAATCCAAGTAGCAATGCAATAAAGATCTTGAATTTTATGTTCTTGTGCTTAGTGCAATCTCACTTAGACTTTATTTAGCCTGGGTTAATCTGACTGTTAACTCCTATCATTTCTGATATGGCTCTGAATATATTACTGTAGATGGTTCCAGGTTTGCAAATTACAGAGTTCTCATATATAAAGTATTTTGAACTTCTCAAATACAAATTTAAAAAAAAAATCTTAATCAGCACCATGGATAAATATTAACTCTAGCCCCTTCTGATCAGGAATCATCACTGGACAGAAGTTGGGTGATGTTTGTGCCCAGCCTGACCAGTGTCACTTCTGTTCAGAACATAAATCAGCTCCTAGCACCAGCCTGGTGGCCGATGCCAAGGACGTAATCTTAACTGCTTCTTAATTGAGTCTTGAGCATCTAAGCCGTAAGCCAAGGGAATGTGCTGCATCCAACCTGGAGAGCTGTTGGCAGCCCCTGAAGTCATAAATCCAGCTAGGGAAGAAGCTGGTGCAGGTGACTGGGCAGCTGGAGCCATACTCTGCTCTCGGGGGGGAAAGGGACCTCTGAATAGCTCAAGGAAACTGCTCAGTGTTGATGGAATGGCCGCAGATCTGCTTCCCTAGTGCTTCCTTCACCACATGTTACACTTGACCCTGCCAGTGCTAAACACCAATAGGAGTCAAGTCATTGTCCCCAGTGGCAGATTAAACTGCTTGGCCATTGTTGAGAGTCCAAGATTTTCCTCTCTCACCCTGGCTAAATGACTGCTTGGATGTGCAGCCAAGGTAAACATGAGCTAATAAAAAATGTAGAGATAACAGATACAGACTAGCTGTTATGGACTAAACAGTCGTGCTGTAGCACAAAGGCATGTGGGTTTTTCTTGCTTATTTTCTCCTTTAGCTTTTGAAGCTCAACTACCTGAAAATGAGGTTGTGCAGAT